TCAATCTATTAGACTCCTGACATTCTATATATATATATATATATATATATATATATATATATATATATATATATATATTCCTCCTTACTAGTTAATGGTGGATACTGCTGTATCAGTTACTTGAACCATATACAGGAAAACCCTGGAGCATTTGGGTTAGGAAATGGTGTGCTATATGAATATTTAATATTAATATTAAATAAATAAATAAAATCTCTTTTTGGTATACCATCCTATTTCCCTGAAGGGACTCAGGGCGGTTTCCAACATATAAGGCAAAACATTCAATTGCCAAGAAGAAAATCATACAGACAGATTAAAATAAAAGCATAATAAAACACAAAAATCCTACTAAAACACAACAATAAAAAATAAAATATAAATAATAAAAATATTACTTGGGGAAGGTTTGAAGAATCGGCAGCTTTCCAAATGTTGAGCTTCCAAGATCCCCTTCCAGAATGGGGAACAGAAAGAATTATGGGAGTATGACATATCCGTGGTTAAAAGTGGTTGTGAAAGAATTATTGACGCTTTATGAAACGGAACAGCTATCTTTTTTGAAGTGCTTCTTGCAGAAAGCATAACTATCTCAAATTACTGAATGTTTAATCATTTCAGTGTTCTGGGAATTAATAACAAACTTGTCAAAATTTGTTGGAATGCAGATAACAACAATCAATTACTACCATAAACTAAGAAAAACACTGCCATTTTAAAAATTAGCAAAATTAAAGCAACAGTCATCAAAAGGGCATTAAAGGGGTGGGAAGGTCGATTTCCTTGATGGAGAGTTCCAAATTCAGGTTCACCTACTGAAAAATCCTCTCCTTGGCCCAACCAGATTTATTTCAGAAGTTATTAGGACATACAAGAGAAGCCTTTGCTAAATAATGACAAAAACCCATATAAAATAATTATTTTCTCCATCCAGAGTGAAAGGCAATTTCTATTATGTCTTAGGATCACAAGGTTCCAATGATGTCTGTCTTTAAGTCACTTCTGATCTACAGTGACCCTAAGGTGCACTTATCACGCCATTTTATTGGTAAGATTTGTTCAGAGGGGGTTTACTTTTGCTGCCTCTGAGGCTGAGAAAGTGTGAGTTACCCATGGTTACCCAGTAAATTTTCATTGCCAAGCAGGGATTTGAAACCTTGTCTCCAGAGTTGTAGTTCAGCCTTCAAATAACTACACTATACTGAGTATTTTTGCCCCATAGGCAGCTTAAATCAATTAGGTATTCAAGACCAATGAATGATTCCAGGCATTTTTCGAAGACAGTGGCATCTTGAGTGTATTGAGTAATCCAAAGACAATGCAGCTCAAATATATTTCACCTAGACACTACATTTTCCAGGGACAGTTGTTAATGGCACGCCGGTTAATGTTCAGCAAATGCACATCTGGCCACAGTTACTACCTAAACATACAGTTAAAAGTCCAAAGTTCAAAAGCTCTGAAGTTACAAAGTTGTGTCCTCTATAGATGTGGTACCGGGGATACCTTGTCTCTGCAACTCTGCTGAACAACACCTTTACATTGTTTCACTTAATCATGAAAAATCCTTTTTTCCACACAAGTATGAAAAATGCAATTGACTGGTCCATTTTTATTTCAGGCAGCCACCTTATATCCAAACAGCTGCTGACTCCACAATGATTTGGAAAATAAATCACCACTTTAAAAAAGACCTTAAGAGTTTAGGGCAAAACAAGATATTTAAGAAGTATGAAGTATGTACTCCCTGTATCCGTCCGTCCCCCCGCCCCCCCCAAACTTCACACAGAATTTGGTGGTTTGAGAAAAAAAAAACTTGACCAAGTTCCCAAGAAAAATCTTCTCTGGGAACTTCCTATTTTCCAGAAACAATCTTCAGAAGCCTATGGAAGTCTCAAAACAACACTTGAAGGCAATCATGAAGTCACAGAACTAACAACCCATCTGCCTTGACCACAGCTTTATAAGTAACTGTACAGGATTTCAGTATTAATGTCAAACATCAGGATAAAAGACAACTTGGCTCGATCTTCCCCTTTGAACAGCATGTGCCACATTTCTTTTCCTAAACACAGATCACAATGAACCCACAGAATATGAGCAAAATAAATGAACTGATAAGATTATTTTATTGACATCATACAGGAAATGGGTCACAAGAACCTTGTCAAAGTAAACACTTTACAATTAGCAAATAGTGCTGCACAAATATTTGCTGTACCAAAGCAATTGCCATTGATGTCAGTGGGTCTGCTCTTTTTTTCTTCCCAACCTAACATAAAACTAGAAGTTGGGCTAATTTACACAAAGGTTGCTGCTGCAATCTTGTCTTCAGAGAACAAATGTTTAGCTAAACCATAATAAATCATAAATATTTGTTGGATCAGGAGGCCAAGTTGTTTTTGTTTTTTATGAATAAAACAAGTGTTATTTTCTGACAAGGAATAAGTCAACATATGAGATAGATAAAGAAACCGCTGTTTTCAAATGCCAAAACTGTCCATCAGAAAGAAGCAAAGAGAGGTACATTATCCAGCACAAAAACTAGATCTGAAAGATCAAAAACTGTCAGATTTCATTTTGATCCTTTCCTTCTTGATTTTCATTGTCATAGCACAAAGACTTAAAATTTTTGTTTCACACCTTTTCATGAACCCAAACTAGAAAACTTTATGCCACAATAAATGTTTTCATTTTCAAGGTGCTATCCCATTGAATTTTATGCTAACATTCTCTTTATTTGCCTTGATTTTATATAGTGTTATATATCACATGACAGTTGCTCTTTATTTTTATTATTTGTTACATTTCATTTTATTACTCCAGCAATAGTTACATGGCAGTGTATCTTAGACACCATCTTCCTACCAATTGAGGAAAAATTCAGATCAGTAAAAGCAAAGAATAATAATGCAAATTTGTTATTCTGAAGCATAGCAAATCCATTCTGCAATTCCATGAATCTACTTTCACTTATAAGATAATCTCTAACTCAACACATTCTAGCAACTTTCCAAATGCTTTTTTGAAAAAGAAATACCAATTTAACAAAGCAGGAAGAGTTTGTTGTTCAAGACTTTCATGACCATAATCATTGGGCTGCTCTGATTTTTCTGGAACATAGCCCAGAAAATTCACAGGAAGAGTTTCTTTTTCCAAATCTAAGACATTTCTGTTTTGCAGCCCTTAACAGATTAATGACCAATTACAAATCAAGCATTTCTACAAAGGTTGTGGGTAATTAAGGAGGATTGAAATGGATCTATCAAAGCTTGCAGTCCGCCATCACTTTAACATAAAGCTTGTGGTCCACCATCATTATAACATAAATCAGGCTAATCCAAGAATTTGTCTTCCTTTCAATTTTTACAGTACCAATACATAGGTAGATAATCTGAAAATCATACCACCAATATTTATCATTGGATAACATGTCTTACTGTCAGGGTTACATTTGAGGAGCAAAACTCTGTTTCTGCATTTATTGGTATTGCATATATTCAGTTATTAAGGAATTATGGTTCTTTGAAAGACTTTAAGCAATTTGAGAAATTACTTTCTAGGAACATAAAAATTATAAGGAGATAAATTGATCACTCTGCCTTCCTGTTAGTGGTATGTCTAAGGGCCAAGATAAGAACTGACCTGAAGGTAACCTTAAGAAATGTGCACAGTAATAGGTACAGACAACAAGAGGATCGACAACTCTGGCAAAACACAAAGCTGTCTATGTAGAAGATCCCAACTTCAGTCCCTGGCATCTCCAGGTATCAATCTGATAAGGTCTCAGGCAATGTGGACTAGCTGACCATTAGGTCAGGCACAACAACTAAAGCTACATTTTTGGTTATGGATTACTTTCCATGTCTGCCTGTCTCTGTCTCTCTCCGCTTCTCCCCCTTCTCTCTCTGGCTAAAAATTGGAAGACTGAAATGGAGTTGCAGTCCAACAATACCTGGTAGGCTACACAATTCTGTCCTTATCTAGCAAAAAGTGGATTGCTTGGAAGAACTGTGATTACAGTGGGTGGGAATTACCAAAAAAAATGAAATTCCTAACAAATCTACTATAAAGTAATTCAGCAAAGCAGTAAAGGGTGACCTTGCAATCCAGCACCTTGGCTGTCCACTTGGCTCATGAAACTTATGAAATTGATATGTAACTGGACAAATGGCTGAGAAGCAAGAAATTTATAATAAGGCCCACTTAAGCACACCTAATATTAATGAAAAAATAAAGATGCATTTAGCCTTATCCTAGTAAGAAGTGTTTTCTGCAAGGAGAAGGTGTACTTGTGATAGTCAAATCTTGCTTTGGGCTGTAAGGGGCACACACAAGCTGAAACTTTTGCAAAACTGGCATTGGATGCTTTGTGGACAGTGAGGAAATACTTAATCAACAAGAGAAATTCATATAAATGCCAGGAACATCCAGCATAATTGCAGTTATCTATATTTTTTTAAAAAATAAAAAGTAAACAAACAGGGCAAATGTGGGAAGTTATGATTTTGAAGCCAGAAGACTGGTAGGACAGAATTATATAATAAAATATGCAGTAATTAATTTTTTTATCATTTTCAGCTCTGCAACTTTGACTAAATTATGAGCCTGGTCCCATGTATTTTTACTCAGTTTCTCAAGTAATATGCAACATGCTACTAACTAATTTTGAGATATTTGGAAAGCATCTACAGTTACATGTTCCTCTTCAACCCTGAGACACCAGCCTGTTAGGTCTGGATACTTCCTTCCAGGCCCCTATGTGTTTCGTGTCTTCACTTATTTATTTATTTATTTGCAACATTTATATGCCGCCCTTCTCACCCCGAAGGGGACTCAGAGCGGCTTACAAGGTATATATTCATACAATATATTATTAACATAGTACAATATCAGTTTTAAATATTGCTATATTGCACTATATCAATTATACTGTAATATTTATACTTACTTGTCTTACATCAGAAACTGTTATTTTCTTCTTGAACTGTTTCTTTTAGGTAGTCTTAAGAGCATATTTCAAGAAGACTAGAAACAGCACTCTTGAAGAATAAAACTTGTCAGTCTTGAAAATCTGATAAACACTGAGCAGAATGGGAATGGCAGCCTACTGCCTATCAGAAACTAAACAACAAAAGATCTGATTTAACATGAATCCTCTGAGCAAGACATTTAGAGCCAATGGGGAGACGTTGCCTGCCCAGTCCTGCTGCAGCATTTACTGAATTGCCAACAGGATTTCTGAAGCACAGGTAGCATTCATCCCAGTCCTGCTGTCTGATGAAAATACCTCCCCCTGTCTTATAGGAGAGCTTTACAAGGTCTTATAACTAAATACAAATATTACAAAATTCTCCAGTGGCCTTATTCCAAAGCGAACCATATCAAAAGTTGGCACTGTCTTCCTAGGAGCTCACACTGCTTAGAGAACTGTATATAATATGTGTCTAACCCTATTCCATCAGAATTTAAGCATGCTTACTCAAAATGCAAGAAGGAACATGTCAGCTCCACTCTACCCTGGTTCCATTGCCTCCTGTATATGGAGGCTGACTGAAACAAAAGCTGTTTGTTGTCTGTGGAGCTGCTTTGTGTGAATTGGAACTCTTGCTTTCTAGGGGTCAAATTCATATGGAAAGTATCTGCAAATATTAGAAACTGCATTTCAGCCTCAATTTCTGTAGCATATAAAGGGTAATGGAATTGAGGGGCAGAATTAATATGCTTTCTGCATTATATCTCGACTAAATATGTTTAAACAACTACTGAAGATTATCTACAAATCTACCTACCCATCCATCTAGAGCAGATTTTAAGTCAATGGCATTCTAAATGAAACCACTAGAGCTCCTTGCAAGATCATTAAAAATGACAAGATCAGCAGTGTAACAACCCATCCTATGATACCAAATTATAGCATGAAATTCTGTGGATGCATAGCCCATTTCTTCAGATGCATGAAGTGTAGTAACATCTCACATAGACATCCCTTTTTTAAAAGAAAAAGATTTAGCAGTAGAAGAGATGCTCATCTGAGAGAAATATACAAGCCCTTGGATTGCTTGGACATCTACAGCTCAGGCAATGAACTGTAAGGCAGTGTTTCTCAACCTGGGGGTCTGGACCCCTGGGGGGGGTCATGAAGGAGGTGTCAGAGGGATCGCCAAAGACCATAAGAAAACACATTATTTTCTGTTGGTTATGAGGGTTCTGTATAGGAAGTTTGGTACAATTCTATCATTGGTGGGGTTCAGAATGCTCTTTGACTGTAGGCAAGCTATAAATCCCAGCAACTACAATTCCCAAATGTTAAGATATATTTTAACCAAACTCCACAAGTGCTCACATTTGAGCATATTGAGTATGCATGCCAAGTTTGGTCCAGATCCATAATTGTTCAAGTCCACAATGCTCTCTGGACGTAGGTGAACTACAACTCCAAAACTCAAGGTCAATACCCACCAAACCTTTCCAGTATTTTCTGTTGGTCATGGGAGTTCTGTGTACCAAGTTTGGTCCAATTCCATTGTTGGTGGAGATCAGAATGCTCTTTGATTGTAGGTTAACTATAAATCCCAGCAACTACAATTCCCAAATGACAATATCGACCCCCTTCCCCAATCCTACTAGTATTCAAATTTGGACACATTGGGTATTTGTGCCAAATTTTGTCCAGTGAATGAAAACACAAAAGTTGCGTATACCCTCTATGGTGCAGAGTTATTTATATTTATTTATTTATTTATTTATTTATTTGATGCATTTGTTGACCGCCGCTCTCAGCCCTAGGGCGACTCGCGGCGGTGTACAACATATAAAAACAGTTTACAAAAAACACACAGTACATCAACAAGCCATAATTACACATTAATCTAAATTATACTAACTAATCCGCACCGTCACAACATAGGAGCCTACCAGTCTCATAATCCATATTCCGTTCCGATTGTCATTATCAATTAGTCTGGCACTAGTTAAATGCCCTCTCGAAGAGCCAGGTCTTTAGGCTCTTCCGGAAAGCCATAAGAGAGGGCGCCTGTCTGATGTCAACAGGGAGGGTGTTCCACAGCCGGGGGGCCACCACTGAGAAGGCCCTCTCTCTCGTCCCCGCCAGACGTGCCTGTGAGGCAGGCGGGATCGAGAGAAGGGCCTCCCCAGACGATCTCAAGGCCCTCGTGGGCTCATAGGCCAAGATGCGGTCCGAAAGGTATTTTGGGCCGGAACCGTTTAGGGCTTTGTAGGATAACACCAGCACCTTAAATTGGGCCCGGTAGCAAATCGGCAGCCAGTGGAGCTGGGACAACAAGGGCGTTGTATGCTCCCTGCGTCCCGCTCCCGTTAGTAACATGGCTGCCGCGCGCTGAACTAGCTGAAGCTTCCGGGCCGTCTTCAAGGGCAGCCCCACGTAGAGAGCGTTTATATATGCTAAATATCTGCCACCATGAATTAGCTCTATCTATAGATAGGACTGACTCCACATTAATAGCACCCTAGATTAAGATTGTCGTCAGAACCTTCCTCTTTCCCATCATTGTTTGAATGCCTTGTTTGTTGCTTGTAGCACAACCTAGGTGCACTATTTGCCTGCATGATTTATTGCTGTCATATGAGAAAATAAAATGTAGGCAAGAATTTTATCATAAATCACTCACATACACTTCTTTGCTTAATGGACAGTGATGTTGTGAACTTTCCCATATTAAAACAACGAAAGCTTTTAAAATGTATTTCCATAAAAGGCAGTGTTGCTAGGGATGCAGCCGTTTTCTATGTGTGGAGCAGAATATGTTGAGCATCAAGCACTATAAAAATGGTTTCTATGGAAGAAGGTTTTCACAGATAATGACCAAAATAACACACAATGGATGCATTTAAATTAAAAAATATCTTGTGAAGCTTCCAGAAAAGCAAACTATTTTAAGAGGCACAATTTTCCATACACAAAATAGCTATGAAAATTAAATAATAGTCACAAGGATGTAAAAGTATATTGTGCAAGTCATGCTATTATAATGATTTCAGCTGTTGACAGTTAAATGTGTCACATTTTTTCTGCAAACATGCAGAGAATTATTATTATTATTACCCCACTCCCTCTCCCTGAAGGGACTCAGGATGACTTAGAACACCACAAATGAATACAATAAATGAAATACAAAAATAATCACATATTAATTATTAAAAACTAAATAACAGAATAATATAAGTATAAACAATTTTAAAGACTAAAAAAACCCTGTAAAAACAATATATGATGCCATTTAACCATCCATTCCTATGATTAGGTAAAGGTTTTCCCCTGATACTAAGTCCAGTCATGTCCTATTCTGAGGGAATAATTGATGCTCATCTCCATTTCTAAGCCAAAGACCCAGCTTTATCTGTCCAAGGTCATGTGGTCGGCATGACTGAATGGAGCACCGTTAAGGCCAGAGCAGTACCTATTGATCTACTCACATTTGCATGTTTTTGAACTGCTAGGTTGGCAGAAGCTGGGGCTAACAGCAGAAGCTCACACCACTCCCCAGATTTGAACCTGTGACCTTTCGGTCAGGAAGTTCAGCAGCTCAGCATTTTAACCCACTTTGCCACCAGGGGCTCCCATTCCTATGATCAGAGTTCCCAAATCAAAGATTATAGACATAAAACCATTAACATCCTAGTGCAGTTTGAGAAACAGCCAGCTTGAAATCCCTTCAAATACTTTACTTTCAAATGCCTTGCTATTGTTTTTGTTCTGTGTCTTGCAGTTGCTTCTGATTTATGGCAAACCTAGCATAAACCGCTGTGAGTCGCCCTCGGGCTTGAGATACAGCGGTATACAAGAATAGTAAATAAAATAATAAAATGACCCTATCATGTATTTTCTTGCCAGTATTTTCTTGCCAGTATTTTCTCAGAGGGGCGTAGCCTTTGTCTCTCTCTGAGCTGAAGAAAGTGTGACTTGCCTGAGTTGGCCAGTATTGCAAAGCAAGTGCTGACTAGATATAATAATATGACAAGTCCAAGGTAAAAAACTTAAAAACAAGGCACAGAAAGCACTTTAGGGTTCCTACATTCGGAAAACAAAGCCAGGTTCAAAGGCCACGACTTTCCTCTTTAAGCTAGACTAACAAAGAAAAGGGATGATGATGATGAAGACACCATAGGAGCCTTGCCTTTTGAGTATTCCAAATCCAAACGAGTTCCTTTGAATGTATTAAGGAAAGCTTAGACACAAAATCTCAAATCCCACTCAGCTAGTGTGTTTTCATTTGTGTGATACTGTTACAGTTTTATCAATGGTTACTGTTATGATTTTAAATACAATTTAGCTTTAAAAGCAATGACTGCAGTTGATACTTTGTGCATATCCTTTCCCTCTGACCTCACTACTGTCCTTTCCCCCTGCTATAACGTTATGTCATTTCAGGTGTGCATTCCTGTATTACATCCACAAAAGCTCATGTCACAATACATTTGACAGACCGTAAAGTCTGTAGGTTAAAGAGGATTAAATGCAGAGGAAGGAGTCATGGAAAATGGAGGAAGGAACATTAGCAATTAAATACACAGGTGACATCACACTACTAAAAACAAATAGCAAAGACTTGGAACTGTGAAAAAAGTTGAGGTAGGTTTACAGCAGGTTTACAGCTGAAAATTCAGAAAATAATAATCACAGATGATTTACATATAACTTTAACATATGCAACAAAGATACTGAAACTGTTAAAGATTTTCCATACTTTGGCTCAATCATTAATCAGACACTATAGCCAAAAAAATTTCTTTTTAAAAAACTATGAAGGAACTAGATAAGATCCTGAAGTGTCACATTATATCACTGTATAACAAAGTCAGGATGGTCCATATCATTGTATTCCCCATTTCCATTTGTGGTTTTGAAAACCAGGCAGTGAAGAAAGGTGATAGGAGGAAAATCAACCCATTCGAAATGTACTAGAGAAGAGTTCTGAGGACTGCTTAAAAAGACAAAAATCAAATCAGGCCTAAACTCTCCTAAGATGCCACAATGACTAAACTGTTGTTGTCATACAATAAGATGAGATAATTCACTAGAAAAGATGATCATGCTTGGTAATGCGGGAGGCAGTAGGAAAAGAGGAAGACTGACTCCCAGATGGATAGGCTTAATCGGAGAAGCCACAGCCCTGAGTCTGCAAGACCAGAGAAGGACTGTTGAGGACAGGTCAACTTGGTATCCATCTAGAATCATTAAGTCGGAAGAGATCTCATGGGCCAACCAGTCCAACCCCCTACCAAGAAGCAGGAAAATCACATTCAAAGACACACACACCCCCCCCCCCCCCCCCCAAGATGGCCATCCAGCCTCTGTTTAAAAGCCTCCAC